CTGTACACGAAGAGCATACATACATATATATATATATATATATATATATGTTTGGTATCTTAGGGAGAGGAAGTACAATATTAGTTTCTTGAGTTGGTTCATTTTTAGATAATCAGTGGCAGTCTGAGATATTATTAATTCCATACAATTGGTTTCAATTATAACTTGCAAAGAATTTTTCTGTTTTATATTTTTTATGTTGAAATATGTTTGCAGAATTTTTTTATTTGCTGGTAAAACTTTGTTAGCTTGGTTAGTGCACTGATTACTGGTTTTTTCCCCCCAAGATTTGTTTGCAACTTACATTTTGAATGTGTATTGCCTGATGCATGAACAGTTTGGCTTAAGCTTACATTCTTGTCTCAGATCAGTGGAGTCTCCTGCTCTATCACATGGACCACATAAACGTCTTTTTTGCTATTATGTTAGAGTGATTGTGGTCTTACTTAAATAAAAATAAATAAAAGAAAAAGAAAAAGAAAAAGAAAAAAAGTATTGAAACTCAAGTTAAATATTTTTAAATTTTGGATAGATAGAAAGACAAATCTAATGAAAAAATTAGTTTTCATTTTCCCTCAAAAAAATTTCACCAAAAAATAACCAATCTATTTGCAGTTCCCAGTAACTACTAAATCGAGTTCTCTCCAAAACAACTTTTCTCAAGTAAGTTCTCTCCAAAACAACTTTTCTCAAGTAAGTTCTCTACAAAACTTCTATTCTAAGATAAGTTCGCAACGCAAATTATAAATTTATGTAGAATATAATTTGTATAAATTTCCTCAAAAAAAATCATGTTTCTAAATAAATTTTTTATTTTTTTTTTAATTATCTGTTCAATATTGCAATTCTAACCACTCAAAATCCGTATGTATGTATGTATATATATATATATATATATATATATATATATATATATTTATATGGTGAAATATTTAATTTTTCTCCCAAACAGTAATATTGCCTCTTCATCTCTAATTTTTTTATTTTTTTTTGATTTGTTTATCTTAAACTAATAATTAGTTTTACAAAATATTATGAAGCCTTATTCTAACTATAAATAATAGAAATGAAAATAAACAATTATATATTTGAATTTAATAATCCATCATTTAATATTACAAATTTTGACATTCATAATCACTTTCTTTTCACTTTCATAATATCCAAACTAATAATTAAATTTTTTCCACAATTAATGTATGCTAGAAAAGAAAATCTCTTTTCATTTCATTCAGTTCACTTTTATTTTTCTCTCACTTCCTATTTTCTTAGTGTCAGCTACATCTTTCCTCATCCTCTTCTTTGTTTTCATGGCACTGAAATACCAAAGGCTGTAATGCTTTTCAATTTTTCTTCTTTAAATTCCTCCTACTTGTTTTTGTTTATAAGAGTTAGATAAATCACGCGCGCACACACATATAATATGAGAGATACACAATCTAATTATATATAATATATATATTAAGATTTTATGGTGATTCAAACTTTAGTTGCCAACAAAGAATTAATATTAAAAAGAATAGTAAGATGATTTTTTTTTTTTTTTTTTTACTTTTAATAATAAATAAATAAAAACTATTCTTTTGGCAAATAGATAAATGTTAAATTCCAACAAAAAAAAAAAAAAAACCCCGAAAACGAGAATGGTAGAAATTAAAAAGTCCGTTAATAAGTTACAATATAGCAGACATATAAAATAAACCATTGACTAGCCGGCTACATATATTTGAACGCCATAGTTTATGAACATAAAATACCAAGTCCAATGATGAACATAAAATAATAGAAAGAATACTTGGAATAGCACCTATTAATGAAATCCTCCAAGTAAACAAAATGCAACCTGAACTTTAAAAGAATAATGGAAAATGTATTAACTGCCTAGCAAAAAAATAATATAAGAATAATTGGAATAGCATCTATTAATGAAAGCCTCCAACTGAACAAAATGCGACCTAAACTTCAAAAGAATAATGGAAACTGTAGGGCTTGTTTGGTCCAGTTCCCTAAAAATAGTTCTCAAGAAGATAATTGCATCCAGAGAACCGAAAACATACATTTTTTTAACTGACTTCTCAGAAACCTGCAACCAACTAAATTTTCATACAGTTTTCTAATTTTCAAACTGTTGTTAGAAAACTGAATCAAACAGGATCCTTGTTTTTCTAACTACAGAATCCTTGGTCATTATTTGCTAATACGCTGGTGGTTAACTTGACAAAGGAGTGCAACAGCAACAGCGAGTTTAAATACACACACACACACACACACACACACACACACACACACATTACTCAGTTCAGGCCCAAACCCCTAAATAATCTGTGAGCATCAAATCTCTTTTCACCATTATAATTTTCTTTCCAGTTTGACGGGTATACTTCTACAGTTATACTCAGAATTACTACCCTAGTACCACACCCCCAGCCCACACTACCACCAGAAAAACAAAGAAGAGTAAGGGGAAAAGATAACTACGCAGCAATGACACCACACGTTTTTTAAAATGCAAAAACTAACAAAGATGAACATGCATTTTAGGTGCTTGGGACTAATAACTAATAAGGAGGGACATGCATCAACATTTGGAACTAACTAGAATTCTAATGGAATTGCACAGGAATCAAAGTGAAAGTTGTTGAATCTCTCTTTGATTGATCAATGTGTAATATTCCGAATCCTCATTCAGTGTCCAAAGCTTCAAGCAAAGAAATTAAGAATACATTAATCTTACTTATATAAATAAATGGAGCTCATATGATGTCAAAAGTGCTATAATGACTCTCAATACTTTATCCAATCTCCATAAATGGAGACCGAACTTCCTCTGCCCCATAATCCCCAACTAGAACACCACATATTTTGAATTGCGAAGAAGAACATATCATCAGATTGAGCAAATTATTATTATTTACATTCAGAAGAAAAGGAAACAAATCACAATTCCTTGATCTAATTCACAAACACCCACAAGTGCAAAGCATGAAGGAAATTGAGTCTTAACCAAGTGGGGGAAAAAAAAAAGGCAAAAAGAAAATCAAACAGAAATTGCATTCATATCAAGAGGAATCAATCCAATCCAGGAATATAACCACCAGAACTCAAGGAACCGCCAAAGTTTGCTTGACTAGCCAGTATTCTGAAAAAGTAACCAAGGCCTAATAGAAATTGAACTTTCATTGACCTAATGAGCCTTCTGAAATTGAAAAAATACAGTTGGGTGGATGTTGATTCAACCAAAGATCAAAATTCTTTTCCAATCCAAATTTTTAGCACAAGAAAGTATCAAACTAAAAGCAATTGTATAGATTAAAATGTAAAGATGCTTCAGGCCCCAATATTGTATGAAGTTGTATCATAGAAAGGATTACCCTTTGAAAGCATAAGGCATCTCATCAACCAAGGGAGGATGCATTATCCTTACTTCTATATTCAGAAGGCAGACAAGATCACAGTCACCATCAATCAATAATAGATTTCTTTTCGAGTTAGCATAAGATTAGAATTACCATTGTAAGCTTAGATACAAAAACGTATGGCAGATGAGAAATAAAGCAGGATAATTGTTGAGCAGCAGGAAGTAAACGCCATTGCATAACCTCGCTGTTTTGGAATCATCATCAAATACAGAAGAAAACCTCGCAAATACAGATTAGAACTTAAACTCCCTACAACCTCCTCTTACTATTTATACATGGCATACATTTGGATGGTAGAACAACTAATAAATAACAAAAAGATACTTTTGATCAATAGGCTTTTAACATGTCACTCTAGGCAATTGGATTTTAGTTTTTCATATCCCAAGCTTTCAGAGATCTTATGGAACATGCTCCAGGACAAGAAGCAACAACCCTAATGTAGTTGTGTTCCAATAGGGTAAGAACAACCTTCTGAGTAAGTTGTAACAAAAAGAAGTACAGCCTTCACAGTACTAAGTTAGTGTGTTATTAACTTCCACATTCCATGGGTCTACAGCTCCTTTTGCAGTATGGTATCCTCAATCTTTTGATGAAACAAGCAGGAGGTCACAACAATATGCTTGATGATGCATCCTCTTAACTGCCTAGCAGAAGAAAAAAAAAAATAGAGGAATACTTGGTATAGCACCTATCTATTAGTGAAAGCCTCGAAGTAAACAATGCAACCTAGGCTTCAGAAGAATAATGGAAAATGTGTAGGTTTACTTCGCTTTCTTTTGGTTTGGGGCAACAGCCTTCAGTTCAGTTTAACTACATACTTCTCGGTCATTATTTGCCAATGAGCTGGTGGTTACAATTACCAATCATCATTTTTACATTTCCCACTCCTGAGTAATGATTTATATCTTGAGATTCTTTTTCATTAATAATAACAATCGAATCAGCCTGTTGTAAGGTGACACTGTCTTAACTGCAATTGCTAGGCTACTCACATACCCACCTAAGCACTAACTATGAGAGCAAGTTGACGTAGGACTGCAACAGCAACATGGAGTACATTAAATTTCATATAATAAGGATCATATTACCTAGTATCGCCCTAAGCCCCCCGCTACCAAAAGAAAAATAAAGAAGATAAATGTAGGGCGAAAAGATAATTACCCAGCAATTACGCTACACTTATAAAAATTCCAAAAAGAAAGTCAAAAACTAACAAAGTCAGACATGAATTCAAGGTGCTTGGGACTAATAACTAGTAAGGATCGACATGCATCAACATTTGAACTAACAAGAATTCTGGGGGAATGCACAGGCTCTGTAAAGGTTTTGACTGCTATGTCAACCTATCTTCACACACAACTACACAAGGAGAGAACCAAAGTGGACAGTGTCTTAAGCTTTCAAACAAAGAAAATAAACATACATTAATCTTACTTTTATAAATAAATGAAGCTCAAATGATGTAAAAAACAGTATAATGACTCTCAATACTTTGTTCAACCAACTTAAAAGGTGCTGGAACTTCCCCTACCCAATAATCCCCTACTAGAACACCACATACTTTGAAAATAACGTTCATTAATGCAAATTGCCAAGAAGAGCATATCATCAGATTGACTAAATTATTATTATTTACATTCCGAAGAAAGGGAAACAAATCACAATTCCTTCATCTAATTCACAAACACCCAAAAGTGCAAAGCAGGAAGGAAATTGAGTCTAAAGCAGGTTAAAAAAAAAGAAAGAAAAGAAAGCACAAGGAAAAAAAATGAAATTGCATTCGTACCATGAGGAATCAATCAAACCCAGGAATATACTCACCAGTACTCGAAGAACCGCCATCAGCATTGGCTGCCAATCTCTTCTTTCTCTCCTCCTCATACTCGGGATCATCTGTAGGCAACTCGTACCTACAAACAGGGCAAGAATTTCTCGCACCCAGCCAGGGCAAGATACAATCCCCATGATATCCATGTCCACAAGGCATTTTCTTCGCAATGTCTCCAACATTCACTAGATCTTTACAAATCGCGCACACCAAGCACTCCTTTTCCGACTTGATCTCGATAGTGGGTAATACTGATACGGCCGATTTCGCCGCTGGCGGAGCTCCTCTCCTTCCACTGCTTTCACCCTCCGCCAAATTTTGCAACAACGCCTCGTATCCAGCTGCGTCAACGTAATCCTCCGGATTGCCCACATAGTCATCGCCATCAGGAACTTGCAATCGCAACTCAATGGAGTGATCTTCAAGTCCCATCAGGATCTCCGCCCAATCGAGAACCCGGTTCCTCCGATTCGCCGCACGAGAGGCGAATTCTCGCAGCCGAAGCCTAATCACCTCGCGCCGCCTTCTGCTGAGCTCTTCTTCATCGCTCTCCTCATGATTCTCGTTCTCGTCATCGGAGCGATCTTCTCCTCCTTCATTTCTGACATCAACCTCGTTCGCGTCGTCATCGTCGTCATCGTCGTTGTCCCATCCGTCGAGTTCGATTCGGAGAAAGTCATCTCCGGACGGATCTGCGTGTTCCGGAGGCGGTGGAGGTGGCTCATCGCCTTCACGCGCCGCCTGGGCGATGAGTCGAAGTACTTGGAGGAAGTGGCCGCTGAGAGAGGGTTCGTCGATCTGATCGGAGGTAAGAGACGGTGGCGTGGAAGGAAGAGGAGTGGTGGGTGTGATGGATTCGACGAAGCCGTTCTTGCACTCGAAGCAGATCACGTCCGGTAGGTTTTCTAGGGTTTCGATGGAAACTCGCTTCTCGCAGTGGTGACACCAGTACTGTAACGAATCGGAGTCCGATACGGACTGTGTCTGTGTGGGTGTTTGCTGCGACGAGGTTTCGGCCATTTAGGGTTTCGGGTTGCTCCGACGAGAGTGAGGAAGACCCCGCACGAAGTGGTGGAGACTTGGGGGGAGGGAGAAAGCGTGTATGTGTGTGTGAAAGAGAGAAGAAAAGAGAAGAGCCAAAGAGAACAAAGACCTGAGATATCATGAACTTTATAGTGAGTGTTTTGCTTGATGAACGCCGTTGGATGGTAATCAAGTTGGGTGATGTCAACTCAGGGAGACTATCTGACGGTTAATAACATTAGAGACCCACACTAGTTTGGAGTATGTGTTTGCATCAAAAGTCTTCAGTTGAAGGGTAAAATTGTCAATTCAATACTAAATGTTACGCCACTCCTTTGCTTAGTAATGCAGTTCCGTTTAGATGCAATTCAAAGTGCAAATAAAAATCTATTCGATGGAATAAAAATTTATTACACAACTAAACTTATGAAATGCTTATTCTATTCTCAAGTAATTTTTTTAAAAAATATTAACTTCCCAATAAACTCTCACATTCTAAGTCCAAAAACCACCATTACATTCCACCACAACCACCTCCGCCTTACACCACCACCATTGACTTTCATCACCACCACCACCACCACCACCATTGACTTTCACCACCACCACCACCACTGTCGCCACCGACTTTCGCCACCGCCTATCGTTTTCCACCACCATTGCCGCCACCACCTTTCACCACTGCTACCACCTTCCACCACCACCACCGACGCCACTGTCTTTCACCACCGCTACCTTTCACCACCGCCACCGCCTTTCCACCCATATCACCTTCTACCACCACCGCCACTGCCATTACCACCTCCTTTCACCACCATTACCACATTCCACCAGCACCATCATCTTCCATCACAACCATCGTCGCTGCCTTCCACCACCATTACCGCCGTCACTCTCTTTCACCACCACTACTGTCACCGCCTTCCACCGCCACCATCCTCACCATCAACGACTTTTACCACCCGTGATACCCCTCGATTCCAAAACACAGGTTGATCAGGTCCGCGCACAACACTGGGGAAATATCAAGCAATTAAGGTAATAAACAAACATGGAATACAAAAGATAATAAGAATAAATAATAAAGCTGAAAAGAAAACTAAATAATAATTCCTCCAACAATTATAATCCAATAAAATAATCTTCCAATAAACATCTAAATACTCGGATACCAATAATCCTCTACATTACAACTCGAGAATCCATAATGTGGACCCCTAATAAAATCCCAACTGAAAGTAAATCCGAAACAACTATCTAAAATGAAAACATAAATAGAATCATACGTAAAATCGAAAGAGTGATGAAGACTAGTCTCTGCTCTGCACGAACAATCTCCACACCTGACGAACACCTGAAAAATAATAGTGGGTCAGGCCGACGAACAAGTTCTACTCTACTACATTCAAAATAGAAACTCGATACACAAATACATCATAATCCAACTCGATCCGTAATCATAAAAGGATCGATAAAACACGACGACAACTTCCCTTTCTTTCCAAAGTGCATTACTCCCTTTATAGGAGACACTTTGAGCAAAACCTGATTTCCAACCTGAAACTCCAATGCACGAGTACGAAAATCTGCATAACTCTTCCGCTTACTCTGGGCAGTGCGCATATGATCCCTAATAAGAGCGATCTTCTCAAAGGTATCCTTAATGAACTCAGGACCCAAAAATCTACTATCTCCAACCTCCAGCCAACAAACATGAGATCTACATGGTTGACCATATAATGCCTCAAGTAGTGCCATACCAATAGTCTTCAGGAAGTTATTGTTGTATGCAAACTCTACAAGTGGCAAATAATCCTCCCAATGACCCTTAAAGTCAAGGACACAAGAACGAAGCATATCCTCCACGATCTCTCAGTTTGTCCATCAGTTTGAGGATGATAAGCAGTGCTAAGATGCAACTCTGTACCCAAAGCCTATTGAAAGCTCTTCCAAAACCCTGACACAAAACTCAAATCCCTATCCTACACAATGGATAACGGTATGCCATGTAATTTCACAATATCTATAATTTAAAGTCTCACCAATTGTTCTGAAGTGAATTCAGTGCGAATAGACAAGAAATAAACTGATTTAGTCAACCTATCAACAATGACCCAAATGGAATTGTGATCTTTAATTGAATTAGGCAATCCCTCCACAAAATCTATAGAAATACTCTCCCATTTATACTCTGGTATAGGTAATGGTTGCAAAGAACCTGGCGGTCTCTGATGATCAATCTTGACCATCTGGCAAGTACTACACTTAGAGACAAAAATGGCAATGTCCTTCTTTATACCTGCCTACCAAAATTGCCATTTTATATCCTGATACATCTTATCTCCTCCTGGATGGATCGAAAACTCAGATTTGTGAACCTTAGTCATCACATCCTTCCTCAAATCATTAGCAGAAGGTACTACTAAATGCCCCTTATACCTCAAGCTTCCATCAATCCCATCATAATAAAATGGAACATCTCCAGTAGCTAACTGTGCAACTTTATCAATGCACTCCTGATCTGTGAGTTGTGCCTTAAGTGCCTTGTGAATGATAGAGGGTGTAACTATCATGCACGCTATAAAAGCATCGGATAACTCATCAACTGTCTTTAAAGCATTCCACTCAGTGGCGAATAATGTAGAAATACTAACATAGGGTCGACAACTGAGTGAATCTGCCACCACATTCGCTTTCTCTGTATGGTACTGTATAGAGAAATGATAGTTTTTAACAAATTCTAACCATCTGCGCTGTCTCATATTCAACTCCCGCTAAGTGAACAAATATTGCAGACTCTTGTGATCATTAAATAGTCTGAATGACTCTCACAACAGATAATGCCTCCAAATGCCTAAGGCAAAGACCACAGTTGATAACTCCAAATCGTGTGTCGGATAATTAAGCTCATAAGGCTTAAGCTTACGAGATCCATATGAAACTGGTTGCTCCTCCTGCATTAAAACACACCTAAGACCTTGAAAAGAAGTATCTGTATAGACAAGATACTCTATCCCACTCTGTGGAGTAAACAGAATAGGTGCAGAAGTTAACTTGCTCTTTAGCTCATCAAAGCTTTCTGATAGTATTCATCCCATACGAATGACACACCTTTCTTAGTTAGATACGTAAGTGGTCCTACTATCTTTGAGAACCCCTGAATGAACCTACGATAATATCCTGCCAATCCCAGAAAACACCGAATTTCCAAAGTTAAAGTAAGTTTTCCCCACTCTAACATGCTGAGACTTTGGCTAGATCTATTGTTATCCCTTTCTTTGATACCATGTAACCCAGAAACTTCACTTCTCGCTGCCAAAATTCATATTTTTCAAACTTGGCATATAACTAATGTTCACGAAGCATCTGAAACACTGTGCGAAGATGTCTAGCATAATCAGTAGACCAAAACATCATCATTGAATACGATGATAAACTGATCTAAATAAGCCCTAAACACCCTATTCATCAAATCCATAAAGATTGTTGGTGCGTTCGTCAACCCAAAAGGCATGACACGTAACTCATAAGAGTTATATCTAGTGAGAAATGTTGTTTTAGGAATATCTTGCTCCTAACCCAAAGTTAATGATATCCAAAACGTAAATCAATCTTAAATACATAAGTAGCTCCCTTCAATTGATTGAAAAGATCATTGATTCTGGGCAAAGGATACTTGTTACGAATAGTAACCTAATTACTCCCTGTAATCTATACACAGGCGAAGTGAACCATCATTCTTCTTCACAAACAAAATTGGCGCTCCCCAGGGTGAAGTACTCCTATGAATGAAATCCTGACTGAGTAATTGCTAAATTTGATCCCTCAGCTTTCGTATTTCCATTGGTGCCATCCTGTATAATGCCTTAGCAATAGGTGTAGTGCCTGGAAGTAAGTCAATCACAAAGTCTATCTCTCAACTTTGTGGCAACCCTAGAATCTCTTGAAATACATCCGAAAATTCCTGTACAACTGGTATGCTATCAAGTGAAACAGTAATCTCCTCCTCGATCTCCTCTTCGATGTAGAACATATATGTGCTAGAAGCCCCGTTAGAACGTGGCATAGCGACGACGTACATATCTTGACTTGGTATAACAAACACAATAGACCTATCATAACAATTAACTTGAGCATGATAGTGAGATAACAAATCCATCCCAAGAATCAGATCATAAAAATGCATGTTCAGGACCAATAGATTGGCTAAAAATCTAAGTCTACCAATATCTAGTGTCACGGGCCCAACACTCTCATGCAAAATAGTAGTATCACATATAGGTGTAGCAATACTATGAGGTCTATTACATAACTATATCGACATCCCAGATAATGCAACAAATAAACTAGACACGAATGAATGTGTAACACCCGTATTAAACAAAACACAATCATGAGTACAGTGAATATAAAACATACCTTCAATAGCTTAAGGTGCTTGAATGTCCTGTGGTATATGGTTATACACCCTGCCATAATGCAACTGCTGTGGTGTCTGTCCTTGCGGCGACGGCGGTGCTAGTAAAGCTGGGAATGTCTATCCCGGAATACGTGAAATCTGTGTAATAGGTAAAAGTAACAGTGCCCTATGTCCTTGCTGCACCTTTTGTCCCTGTCTGGTCATAGGACACTGCGTGAAAGTGTGTTCAAGCTCTCCACAATTATAACAATTACCCCTGAAGGTGCCAAATTGCCTCCTTTGTTGGTTAGCCTGTGGCTGACCCTGTCATGCTTGTGGTGCCCTATTCTGTTGTCTCTGAATAGATGTTCCGTCTCTCAGAGCATCTGAACCACCCTTGTGCTTCTTCCAAGGCTACTTCCCTAGAATTTTCCTTTTTCACTATGTTTGTGCCTATTGTTATTCCCTTTCTCAGCTGGCTGATTAGCAGAGTCTTGTCACCCCATTTCTCACCCCTAGTCTGTATGTCTCCGTCCTCAGTTGCCAAAACTGCAAAGCGGTGTCCACTACCTGAGCATAAGTAGTATAGGTTAGACTACCTATAATGACTTGCTTATTAGGCCAGATCAGCCCATTAACAAAGCAAGTGCACTTCTTCTCCTCGGTATTCACCTCATCTAGAGCAAATACAAATAAACGTGTAAACTGCTGCTCATACTCTGCCACGGTCAT